TCCTATGCATTTCCGATTTACAGTTTGACTGAGAGGAGATGATAATTTCCGCGTCGCAGAACTCTGGCTTCGGTACGAGTGCCTCATTATGTCCGCTACATTGCAGCATCCCCACTACTTAAAGAAGCCATAAAATACTCTTCCTTGCTTCTTCTCTAGGAACTCCTTATTCAGATAAAAGTCTACCTGGCTTGAAGAACCATCATCCCGGATAATCCTGCAATCACTCGTCGGGAGAGCTGATTTTATTACCGGAAGCATCTGAACGATGTTATCCGGTGCCGCAGATCCTGCCGGAGCCCTTCCAGTCCACAACCGCCCACCTAACCGCAGGGTAAATAGGGTCTTCAGGGTCATGGACATAACATAGGGAAACAAAAGCTATTTTAAGTCGCAATATTGCATTAACTTAAAAATTATTATTTTCGATTTAACTTGGCTGAGATGAATTCTTAAATTTTTGAAATCTTTCCTGAAATTGAAAAAGTACCGAAAAGGGTACAAATGTACCTACAAAATTCACACTGGTTAGTAGGTATAAGTAAATATTTATTAAATATGTACAAGTTTGAATTAAAATTAGATTACATGACTGGCTTTTTATTTTTATTTTCTTCAGCTGCATTTTATTTTTATATATATTTATTTTTTTTTTGCGTATGCTTATTTCTAATATACGTATGTATAAGTGAATAATTTATAGCTTAAATACTTAGTAAATATGCAATAAGTACATACAAGTAGTTACATATACATACATATGAACTGAACAATCAGATTATTTGCCATTTCTTATGGTATATAGTACATACATATAAGACTTAAAGAAATGGAAAAATTTAATTGATATGACTTCTATGACACCAGTGATTAGTGGGTCTTACGATTTAAGCGATGTAAGCAGTACGCTTTGTTTGTGTGTGTGTTTATTAATTAATTGATTAATACATATTAAATACAATTAATTCTGTGACAGTTAACTTACTCTCATTTGACACGGCGTTCAGTCAAATTCAGTTGGTTGATTTTCAAAGACAACTAAGACATACAATATTTACAAATATGGATGTAGGGATTTAAAATTTTTTTTTATTTATTTATTTTTAATTTTATTTAATATTAAATACTATCTCTGCGGAAAAAAGTTTTGAATTTTATGAATCTTTATTTTTAATTAACTGTTGTCGAAAATTTTATTTTTCACAAGTTGACTGCCAAAACATCTATTATTTGACTAAAATATTTAATGCTAAATACGATTGCACTACATTGTTTTAATATAACTACATAGCTGCCTTCGGTAGAATACTTGTTTAAAATACAATTTTTTTTTTTTAGGGTTAAGTTGAGCTTTTTTGAAATTTTCTGCTAAAATTTTACGCAAAAATTCCAAAATAGCTGCAAGAAGGGCTTACAAATCTTTTGATTCTCAAATTTTTGTGTTAAATAAATATTTTACAATTTGCTGGGTTGCATTTTTTCTTTACACACACATGTAAATTTTTTGTTTTTGAAATTATTATTATATTTCTTTAATTCTATTTAAGTTTTTGTAAAGAATTGCTTCAATCTTCCCTTCAATGTCACAATCACTGCTTCTTCAATCGCCGCATCGCCGTAGCTGTTTTATTTATTTTTCCATATACGAGTTGTTTTTGTAGTGAACTGTCTGTCGTTTTCATAATTTCAGCTTAGCCCAGAAAACGTATGTTGGTGAATATGGCCTTGGCTGGACGTTTACGATTACAGAAATTCACGGTTTTACTATGATTGCCTTTGCGATTTTCGTGTAGATTCATCAGCAACTTGAAGACATCCTCCTTGGAGGGTGTGCAAGCGTAACGCAATTCTGGTTCGTAGGTGCTGAAGATTGAAAAATGAAACAAGAAAAGAGAATTAGAGAAAAAAAGAATGGGTCGCGCTACGGAAGTGAAACTTCTCTACATTGTTTTCTTTTTAATAATTTCTATTTTTAAAGTTTGGCTTTTATAAATTAAAAAAAAAAAAAATGTATATATCTTTTAATTTAATTTAATTTTTATAAACTAATTTTATTTACTTTTTTTTATATTAATTTATATTTTCTTAGTTTAATTTTCCTTTGGCTTTTTGACGCTATTCTTTTAAAAAGACATTTCTTTTATCTTTAAGGAACCTTTCTAATTTTTTATTTTTTAAATAATTTTTGTTTCTGTTTTTCGTTTTATTTTCTTTTAAGTTTTGGATTTAATATCTTAAAGAAGGAAATATTTTTGTTAATTTAATTTAATTTGTAGCAACTAATTATATTTAGTTTTTATATTTAATTTATTTTTCTGTTAATTTCACTTTCTGTTAGTTTTAGATTTTAAAATTTTTTTGAAAGAAAAACATATATTTTTAGTTTACTTTATTTCTAGGATTCTATCTTATTTTTTGCCTTTTTAGTTAAATAATTTTTTTGTTTAATTTGTAGATTTTGTTTTAAAATTAAAAATATTAAATTTTTTAACATTTAAGTATTATTTTCTTCTTTTTTGATTTAAATTTTTTTAAATATAATTTTTGATTTTATTTTAGAGAAAAAAGTATATATTTTCAAACTAGTATTTAAAAATGTTTATTTTTAAAAATATTTTTAATAATTTTTGCTTTATTTTATATATGTATTTTTATTTAATTTTCTTTTAGTTAAAAATTAATAAAAAATAAATAATATAAAAAAAATTTTAATATACAACGCTTTTATAAATGGACTAAAAAGTAGAAAATAATATTTCTCAGTCCCATAGAATTTGTTTTGATNTCTACTTTTTAGTCCTGTCTGAATAAAATTTTGCAATAGATATTAAAATAATTCAACGATATTAATAGAAAGGTGCACACACATGCATTTACATATGTATGTACATACAAACGAGCACCAATTAATTTTATTTAAAGAAATGGCGTGTCGTCTATTTCCGCTGTAGCAAACGTAATACATAGGGCGACATCTAGATGTCATCTACCTCGCCCTATTCACTACAGATGTCGCCCTATGCACTATGCTTTTTTATAGGAACTTTTCAAAGCAAAGGTTTTATGGTGTCGGACACACAACATTGAAAGTTTTTGGATCCACAACATTGAAAGTTTCTGGACACACAACATTGCAAGTTGATAAAAGCGTTGTAATAAACGTATTGCTAAAAGGCCAATAGCATAAAGCTAAGACCACCTAGTTAGCCGATCTTTCAAGTAGTCTTTTGAAAAAAACAGTAAAGAGCTTTTAAGATAGTCGCCAGAATAGACCATTGTCTTACGAAATACTGAGTAGAGGTGAGATAAGTTAAGGTGAGTTGAGATCAGGTGAGTGGAGAGTTGAGATCAGGTGAGTGGAGTTGTGGTAATTGGAGGTGAAGTGAAGTAAGTTTAGGCGAGTTGTAGTGAGGTAGGATGAGGTGAGTAGAGGTGAGATAAGTTAAAGTGAGTATTGACGAGTTCAGGTGAGTTAAGGTGCGTTGAGGCGAGGTAATTTGAAATACGGAGAGGTGAGCTGAAGTGTGGTGAGGTATGGTGACCATACCTTAATCTTCAGTTTTATATTTATATATGCCCATTAATCTTTATCTCTACACCTCTCTATATTTCCATCTTTGTCTCGACCTCTATCCGTTTCTTTCTCTTTATGTTTACCCTTACCCTTTTTTCTTATCTTATCTTTATTATTTCCTTTATCTACATATTCTACTTCACCTTTGTTCATACATGACTTATTTAAATTAATCTTCATCTTTGTATATATCTCTACGTACTTTTATTTTTAATTCTGCCTTTAACCTTTTCTTCATCTAAATGTTGAACCTTAACTTCGTCTTTGTATTAAACTGAATCTCAATTTTATTCTCAAATCGACGCTTAATTAACATGTTTCTTTTATTCAGTGTCATTTTTAAAGCATTGGGAGGCAGTTTGGTCCCCAACCATCCCCACTGCATTCGCCGTGTTGATTTTTCCATTCACCATCGCCGCTAAAGAAGTTTCACTTCCAGAATAACACCTTAATCAAGTGTTTAAATACACATACATAATCAAATTAAAATCACAATTTTTTTTTTTAATGAGCAAATAAGAATTCTTCAAATTATTCCCTTACTCATTGCTCATTTTCCGTCTTTTTACCCCCTCCTTCCTACCTTCGATTTCGGTTGTGCCGCTTCCATGGATAGCGCCTATAGTAGCGTGAACGTTTGGCCACACCTCGACCACCCACTTCACCCAACTGATATGCCATATTATTGTTGTTTGTAGCAACGGCTTCTTCTGATGTCTCCTCATCCTCATCCTCTTCCACATAAATAACCGGCAGCGTTTGTAAATTTGGATCCTCAAGCATTTTCATTAACAACGCTGATTTGGTAACAATTTCCTGTTCGTTGCGCAAGTCTTTCTCTAATTTACGTAACATTTCGTATTTATTTGCCACTTCTAGTTCGTTAAATACCGTATCAGCGTAGTCGGGTTCTTCGGGTAGCGTGCCTAGTTCATGTCCATTGGCAGACATTTCGGCGTTTAAGGCGCGGAGAAGCTCTAAAGAAAGATAGAGAGATAGAAGGGAGGATGAGAAATTGTAGTAAATTAGTTGGTAAAAAAAATGTAATTCTTAGGGTTGTGTAATAAATAAATACATATAAATAAGTACACATTATTGTGTGAACGCTTTAAATATTTACTATAGACAACATTTGCCTTCAATACTGTTGATTAGCTTAACGCAAATAGGGTGCCGAGGATAGCGCGAACGTGAGAGATGTCAATGAGGGAAACCAGAGAGAAAGAATGAGTACGAGATTGACCTTCTTTGTCAAAAAATACACGCACTGAGTGTAGTTTTTTATGGAATGAGAAACTTTTTCACGAAAAGCTAACAGGCGCTTTTAATAAATTATTTCATATGTTGTTTGAAAAGTGTTGTTACACTCTAAAAAAAAATCGTGTAGATTTCCTACCTAACCGGTAGGTTACTGATTTCCTACCTTATTATTCGCGAAATTACATGCTCGATTATTCAACGAATAGTTTGTTTAAATTTCGGACTTTTTAGAGTGTAATATAGCTGCTGCGGTGTGCGTAAATTTACTAAGAAAGTGTGTACAAGCTACAAAATACACATCTGCTGTTTGATATCACCCTTAGAATTGTGTAAAGCCACTAACAAAAAGGATTTTTACACACGAAAATGTGTAATCGAGGAAAATACATATTCATCGTGTAAATTTACCAACAAAATATAAAAATAAACAAAAATGTACTCGATTTATAGTCGCATTTTTAAACAGATTTTTTAGAGTGTATGTATGAAGACCTATGCAACGCAGGTAGTCGAATGAAATGCTAATAAGCAAAAGCACAAGTTGCTATATTATATTATGTTGTATACTTTTAGGCACTCTATTTCACACATACTTATTAGGGCTGGGGAAATCATCCGGATTTTGCAACTAACCGGATAAAGCGAGTATTCGAATATCCGGAGACCTAAATGAAAAATCTGGATATTTCAGAAGCTAAGATAATATTCGAATATTCGAATTATCGGGGTTTTCATTAGGGCAAAGTAATGAAATGTGTTATTTTCCTGCGGCTAGTCAATCTTTTTAATTTAAAAGTCTTATTTGATCAAAACTAGAGGGCTGCATGAATCCATTCAAAATGGCTCATGAATAATTCATGTACGCAATGAATGAATGATTTTGGCTTAAAATTTTTTTGAATTCCGGTTAATACCTGTTCTGATATATGTATGTATGTGTCGACATTAAAATATTCTAACAAAATGAATACCAGGCGCTGATACATGCGAAGTAACAAGTTTTCTATTTCCACGCACAAAATTTTGGCATACATTTTTAGATTTTCAAATTTTCAAAATTCTACTTTGTGAATTTCAAAGGCTCGTACAAATAAATTAAAAGGTTCTACAATCTTGGTATTGGGGGAAAAAATATCGTTTCGAAAAAATAAAGAAAATCCGGGTATCCGAATAATTGCACAAAAGAATATTAACCGGATATGCATACTATCCGGATTTTAACCGTGTCAACGGATAATCCGCATGAATATTCGGATATTCGGATATTCGAATATGCGAATAGTCCCAGCCCTAACACATATATGTATATGTATGTGTAAGTACATATGTACCACTCGTTAAAAATAACTTAAAAGTCTACTAAAATTTTTAAATTCCATATTACAAAATGCATACTCAGTGCAGAGACCGTTTTATAATACTCGTATACTGATAAGAAACAAATAATCCAGAAATAAATAAGTGCCAGCTCGCTCCTTCTTTACTACAGCCTGTCTATTGTGGCTATTGTGCTGTCATTTAGTGATCAATCAGTGACAAAGAAATGACCACGAAATGTGCCAAAGGCTTAGTGTGTTCGAGTACCCATTCAATGATTTATGAAAATCACAACTTTGCAAAGCGTACTGAGCGCACGCTGATGCTCTGTATACATATATGTATGTGCATATGTGCATGTGTACATAGTGTTATGTACGGCCAGAGGCGCAGACGGAAAATGGTGAATGGAATCTTCAAGCATTGAAGCGGAAATTAAAACGCTTTGATTTTGGCTTTACAGTTATTTTTGTAACTGTTGATTTAAGCTAAAAATAGATTTATTTAAATGAGAGTTAAAAGGGCGATATGGAGTTAAGAGAGAGAGAGAAGCTTCACAAAGATTATACATTAAGTTTATGTACATAGGTACGCAGGTATGAAAAAACGTCTAACTTCTATAGTTTTGGTATTTCCTTTCTCAAATTTTTACAGCGTACTCCATAAATTTTGACGAAACTCAAAGTCGAACATGGTTTAGATAATAAAAAAATGCAATTTTTTAATGCAAATTTTTTTTAATTTTAATCTGTCTCACACTCTCATGGAAAGCCGAGGTAATTACGCTCATTTTGATACCTTAACTAGCTTTCTCCGACAAATAGTTTTTTAACTACAAACAATTAACGAAAGATACCTCTCTGTGAGTTAAAAATTTCGGGATTTTTTTTTCGTGGTTTTTGAATATCACGGCGAAATAAAACAAAAATTGGTGTCTTCTTTTTTTCGATAAAGAATGTATAAAAATATATTTGACCCCAAAAAATATTGTGGTGCTAATATTTTATGGAATGACCCATACATAAATTATTATTTTTTTCATTCGTAAAAAACCATTTGTTGCCTTTAACTATTTTTTTTTTTTAATTCTTGTTATTAAGAAAACAACTCTTCAACACAAATAGATGCGTTAAAATGTAACAATTCCCACTCTGCAATGAAACATTTTTTACAGAGAAAAAGGCTTATCCGACACTGCGTGCACAAAAAAAAAAAATTTAACAGAGTACATACAATTAAGCACTTAAGCTAAAAGTGCTTTCGCTATGACTTTGTAACGGTACCTCGTAGGACTTTGAAAGCTCTGACAGCTGGTATGGTATGGCGGTAAGTAATCGATTTCTGTCAAAAACCAAAAAAAACTAGAACATTTTGTCGCTTACATCCTTTTGGCGGTTAGGGCTCGATGTGTGTTATAGTCGTCCGATTTTCTCGCTTACCGACAATGATTATTGCGTTAAAAAAATACAACGGCTTACCAAATTTCAGTCGTGGGGCATAAAAAGCAGACTAATGTTTAACACTTTAGGGGCCATGAGTACGTAAACGATGTTTTTGCCTTAATGCTTCTTCCTGTTCCATATGCTTTTGGTTCGGTAAAAGGTAATTTTCTTGTATTCCTCCGTGGAATATTTTTAGCAAAAAATCGAAAACCGAGTTGCCAGCTATTTGAAAATTTAATATTTCTTAAAATCGAAAGTGTTTTAATAAACTTAGTGCATATCTAGGTTGATAATAAAATGAGTATAAAATAAAATGGATGTGAAAAAGGTTTAACTCGTAGAATTTTCTAGATAGCGTTGCCAACTATCTGAAAATTAAAAATGAGTTGAATATGTAACTTAATTAAAATATGACCGCAATATTGGCATCTAATGAAAGGTAATTAAGAAAATTGAACTGTGAACCTATACCATAAAATTAAAATTCGAAAAATTTAATTTTGTTTTAGATTCAAAGAATATATTTTCTGAGTTCTTTCCTGTGTTAAGAGGGCGGCAAGTAATTTTCGACAGGGCAACGTCCGTCCGGTCTGCTAGTACCCTATAAACATAACAGTGCAGATTCCATTACTCACTGCATTGGCGTGCGCAAATAACTGTACTAAAAACAAGCGTAACTCATGCAACTGACAGATAATCAACAAAATTCTGCGTATGCATAAAAATAAAACCTACTAACGCAAAAATATTGAATGCAACGTAAACAATTTGCTGAAACGCCTGTAAGTATGCTACATAAATATATGCAACATGATTTAACACACACGACACAGCGACGCGCTGGCAAATAATGCGTTCTTCGCTGCAATCTCACTTTCCGCTTTACTTGGTTTATGTCAGCTGCAGCAGCATAGTCTGAAAGTGACTGTTGTTGGCGCATTTTTGGGTAAATTTATCTATGGAATTTTCACGGAATTTCAGCTTTTTCTCAAGCAATTTTTTGCTTTGGATGTCTGCTTTATTGACTGTAGTCGTGTTGGTGGGAAGCGCGGTGGCAATTCACAAATTGATTAAAATTTATTATATAAAATAATTTTTGTTTTACCTGCAACAGGCTTTGTCCACATTTTTGTATTTTTGTACACACCTCGTGCCGTGCGATAACTTTTGCTGCTCACTGAATGGAATTGTGGTGCAATGTCATCAAGCAAATTTTTATTTAAATTCAGTTTCCGAAACGTGCAATAAATGTATGTAATTTAAATTTTTAATATTTACAAAAAGTTACTGAATTGTTGTTGAATATCTAACTACGAGAAGAGTGCTTTATAAGGACTGTAAATAATTTTAGTTAAAAGCCAATGGAACCCGTGATGGCCCGAAATTTGATAGAAAATGTTATTTACAAAATTTAATATGCGAATACCGTTCGTAAGAGATCGGAAAATCAGTTAGGGTCACTTTCTCAAGTAGCTTTTAAATTTTAAACACAAAGCTTGTTCTAAATTTTTCAGTAACTAACAGCCAAAAAGAAGTAAAGGAAGCTTTTTTGGAAAAAGTCCTAACAACCCAAAAAGAACTAAAGGAAAATTTTTCGAAAAACTTTCTTTTTGTTGCAGAAATGTTCATGGGGAATTTAGATGCATTTCTGCATTAGAAATAAAATTTTGAAAAAATTATTGCTTGCGTGCACATTTTTTTTTTTTTATTAAAATGTGGCAATACTAACAACCTTTTTCTGGAGCTGACCATATTTTAATTTATTAAAACTTTTTTGAATTTTAGCTATTCATTATTATTGAAAACTTTTGTTTCGAAATTCAGTTTTTCTCAAAAAGCTTCCGTAGTTATGATTAATGTATCACTTGAGTATGAAATTATCCATTTTAGCTTATTCGAAAAAATTTAGGAAATTCGAAAAGTTGTTTTCTAATTTTTACCATCTACAATTTAGTATA